CCGAAGGACTTGTATGCATGCATATAAGCATAACCAATGGACATAAGACACTGGGGGATAGGGGAGTCCAGGGGATTGTCAAGGGCGGGGGGAAAAAAGGACATATATGTAATACCCTTTGTAATACTTTAAGCAATAAAAAAAAGAAAAGAAAAAAAAACATTTATCCGGCCCGCCGGGTGTTTTTGCCGCCGCTGCCTGAGCAAAATACTCAGCCCTCCCTGCTAGTGCCCATCTTCCACAGTCCAGCATCACTTCTCTGTCAGGGGTTATGCTGTGAGAGAATGCCGAGAGCATTTTACATCTTCCCCTGGTGAATAGCTTGAATCAGTGGTTCTCAAAGTGTGGTCCTTGGACACCGAGGGGATCCCTAAAGCCCTTTCAGAGGGTCCACTTATCTCAAAAGTACTGAAACATCATTTGCCTTTTTACCTGTGTTGACATGTACACTGATGGTAAAACTGTTGGTGTCTTAGCATGAATCTAATGCTATATATAGTTTGTGGTCCCAAACTATGCTAGTTATAATACAGTTCTTTAACAGTCACAGTTAAAACAAATCAAAACCCCAAAACTTCACTTAATGTCCTTGATGCATCAGTAAAAATAGCTAATTTTATCAAATCGTTACAATTCAGTAAGAGCCTTTTAATACCCAGTGTAATGAAATGGGAAGTGTGCTGGATTTCCTTGAGATGATGGTCAACTTGAGGAAAACCACCTGTATGGTTGTTTGAGTTGCAAGCTGAACTAGCCACTTTTTTTCCCATGGAGTGCAATTTTTACTTGAAAGAACAATGGACAAACAATGGTTATTCAGCCTTGGGTATTTGGCAAACATTTGAGCAGTCAATAAAGGATCAGTAAACTTGAAGATGATCAATCAAGATTATCCAGTCTTAGAAACAGGAAGAAAACGAATGGAGAAAAGTGGATAGAGTCTCAGAGGCTTTTAAGCTTACAATATATGCATAATGACAGTTCCAGAAAGAGGAGAGGCAGAAGAATATGTTAAAAAACTGAAAGACCCTAGTTTAAAGAAGGAACTGCAATGATATCTTGAAAGCTTGGATTTTTAAAAATTTTAGATATAATTGACATATAACATTATAGTAGTTTCAGGTGTACAACATAATGATTTGATATTCATATATGTTGTGAAATGATCACCACAATTATAAAGTAAATCAGTTTGGGGATGTAGTGTACAGCATGGTGACTGTTTACAATACTCTATTGAATATCTAAAAGTTGCTAAGAGGGTGATGGGGCTTTGGAATTGCTCCAACCCTATTCTGCCCCTTCTTGAATAAATGCTCCTCAGATTACCTGTGGTTAATTTTCAGAGCTTTTTGAAAATATATGTTTTTATTGATTCCAGAGAGGAAGGGAGAGGAAGAGAGAGAGATAGAAACATCAATGATGAGAGAGAATCATTGATTGGCTGCCTCCTCCATGCCCCACACTGGGGATTGAGCCTGCAACCTGGGCATGTACCCTGACCGGGAATCGAACCACAACCTCCTGGTTCACAGGTCAATGCTCAAACACTGAGCCACTCCAGCAGGGCAATTTTCAGAGTTTTGAAAAAGTTGACTCAGACAGTGTTGTTGTTGCTTTTACCGAAGAGAATAATTCCAGAAGTCCTTACTCTGCCATCTTGCTGATGTCCTCACCCTTCTGCTTCTACCATGCAACTTAACACAGAATTGACTGCATCATTGTGATCAATTAATATTTGTATTATTCACCTAACTAGACTGGAATATTTAGACTCTGTGCACCATTCCGGTGACCCATGGGGACGAGTAGAGACAGGACCTGCTCTCCGCCTGAAAGCTCTATACCAGGGGTCCTCAAACTATGGCCCGCGGGCCACATGCGGCCCTCCGAAAACATTTATCCGGCCCGCCGGGTGTTTTTGCCGCCGCTGCCTGTCCTGCTTTGCAGCCGACTGGTCCCGGCCCGCAGTGCGCATGTGTGGAATGTCTGAGGGACAGTGAACTGGCCCCCTGTTTAAAAAGTTTGAGGACCTCTGCTATCTAAACTGGCCAAGGCCTAATTTTGTTATTTTTAAGTGAATAAATAAATGTTTTCAATTTTTCTCAGTTTTAATATGGGAAATATTGATAGATATAATGCCTATAAACAAATATTCTGTGGAGTCCTCAATGATTTTTGAGAGTATAAAGGGTCCTACTGCCAAAATGTTTGAGAACCTGTGGTTTAGACCAATCCAGGAGGTTCAAGTTCAAAAGCCCCACCCACTTAAGGTCACAGGGGGCTCTTTTCCTTTAATATGGAAGTGATTACTTTGGAAAGAACCTAGACCAGCCCGTTTGAAATGAATAAAACTAAAAAAAAAAAAGACCGTACCCTTTTATGTAATGATGTTTACTTTGAATTTATATTAGTTCACACAAACACTCCATCCATGCTTTTGTTCCGGCCCTCCGGTCCAGTTTAAGAACCCATTGTGGCCCTCGAGTCAAAAAGTTTGCCCACCCCTGACCTAGACTCTGCAATCGCAGGGCCACACAACTCTCTCAGGGCACAGAGAGAAAGCTAAGGCCCAGAGATGGGATGTGAGTTCCTTATAGATGCATCACTAGTTAAGGCATCTTTACTGCTAATAAAAAGTACCTGCACGTGGTATTTTGTGGAAGAGCCACACTCAAGGGGCCAAAGAGCCGCATGTGGCTCTCGAGCCGCAGTTTGCCGACCACTGACCTAGAGTATTCAAGCAGACTTTCACAGCAAGCTGGAGGAATGCTGCTGCTTCCTTCAGCCAAAAGGAAAGACACTAAGGAGGGAGCTTGTTTAATTGTTCAGGGAATTTCTTCCTGGATGGTTCTGCATTCCTGTCAAATCACTGTGGGTCACGCAGGTCACTCTGCCAGCATCATGCAGATTCTAAACCCCAACCCTATTCACACCATTTCAGCTGCTACCTCTGAAGTCTCTTCTTTGGACTCCCTGGCTCTTCCAGTTTATATCACTCAACTTAGCACAGGACCGACCTGCAAGGTTCTCTAAGAAATCCACTGTGGTGAGCCGGCATGGCCATGGCATACTCAGCCCCAGGGCACCTTATGTGCCACGCCAGCTCAGCCTGGTTCAGTGACCCTGAGACGGGGTGGTGAAGGATTGAGAAAAGACAGACAAGAGAATGAGCTGAGGCTGGGTGGGACGCTACCCTCTCTGATGGAGAGACAGCGCCACGGACTACAATACGTGTTTTTAATTTATAGCCAGATTCCACGAGGCAAAGAAAGGGCGTGATCAAGATGTTTACAACATTCTTGTGGGTTTCAATACTACTCAATTACATGCACCTGAACTCTACCAAGCCCACATCACTCAGACACGTGGGGCCATGTGTTCGGACCATAGGTTCAAGCTTACAACTACAGCTGTTGGTTATAATTGTGCTGGGAAGGCCCTGCCCTCCAAGCTGGGACTTGCACGTGGCAATGAGAGGACTGTGCCCTCTCATTAGTCCAAGGCTTGAACCTGTCCAAACACTGTAGCCGCTCTCCACAATCCATATTATCTCCCCCAGCGGAGTCGTAGTGTTTTAGGGCTGGACATGATGCCTCACGCATCTCCTTGATTCTTCCTCGGCTCTTAACCTATCAGGCACCAGGACATAGTTTGACACAAGTTTGTCAGTTGACCAATCAAGATAAAAACTTAGGACAGGAACACTATATTTGCAAAAACAATCTCTCTCCACTGTCATTTCCCCTCTCTGATGTTAGTTTTCTAACAGGACACACAGCGCCACGCTCCAGGCTCGGAAGGCTCCGGTTTCCTCTGCTGGCGCCACCGCTTACTAGCTTTGTCCATTTGGGGGAATTACTCAGCTCCCTGAGCCTGTGTTTTGCAGCCAGGGAGCAGCCAGCACACTGCAGAACAGAGAGGAGGCTTCCAAGGAATGCTGGTTCCCCGCCCCATTTCCTCCCCCTCCTCTTTAAGGTGCTTAGAGATCGTTATCCAGGACACGTCAACCACAAACCGTAACTCTTAGAAAGGCATTCGTTAACCAGTGAGAAGTTAATTACACTTAATCCAGTTCCCTTTCCTCCTTACCGTACTTAGGATGACTTGTAATTCTTATATCAGCTAAACACATGTTCCATAAAATCATTCATTACTAAATCATAACATTCTCCCATCCATTTAGTCATTCAGAAGTTAAATATATTTAACCAAATTATTTCTCTAAAATTCCTTTTCTTTTCCCTTCTTCATTCTTGAGAGCGATCTCTGTTCCCTTCCTTTACTGATTTCTTACCTGGCCCGTTGTGCCTCTTGGCCTTATTTTCTTCTCTTCTGTCTCTTTTTTTTCCATGCAAGTCATGGTAGTACCTTCAGGGAAGATGGTTTTTCTGGCAGAGGGATCATGGCCTGGATAAATCAGGAAATCAGAATTACTTGGGATTTTCCAGAAGCCCATGGTGCTGTTTCGTGCTCCTTATGAGCTCTTAACTGAGGCCAAATCTCCAAGAACTTACTGAAAAGAGACATGAAGGGAATGGTGTGGGCAATGTGAAACAAGTAGAAGTCACTTTCTCTCCATTCCTCCTTCAGCTTTAATTGAGGAGACCACCTAATTAATGATGATGAGGATAAGGCTATCTCTGAGGGTGGGCCAAGGAGATTTGTAGAAGAATGTATTGAGATCTTTTAAAAAAATTTTTTTTGAGATCTTTTTTTTCAAACTGTATTTTTACTGATTTTAAGAGAGAGAGGAAGGGAGAAGGATAGAGATGGAAACATCCATGAGAGAGAAACATCATCTCCTGAAGGTCCCCTCCTGGGGATTGAGCCCATAACACAGGCATGTGCCCTGACCAGGAATTGAATCGGTGACCTCTTGGTTCCTGGATCGACGCTCAACCACTGAGCTACACCAGCTGGGCTGTGTAAAGTTCTTTAAAAGCAGATTCTCAGGTCTTTTAACCACAGATTCTGATTCAATAATTTTAAAGAGTCCCTGATGATTATTTCGTAAACTTCTTGAGAATCAGAAGTAGCCTGGTCTTAGCACTTACCCATCCTTTTCTTTTTTTATTGATTATATTTGACATACAACATTGTGTAAGTTTAAGGTGTACAATATATTGATTTGATATATTTATACTAGAGGCCCAGTGCACGAATTCATGCACATCGAAGGGAAATTAATTAGAAGAGATATTTTAGAGGCTGGGGAGGGACCGTGGCAGGTTGGTTGGCCAGGGAGGGACCTCGGGAGGGCTCCAGGGCATGTCCAGCTCTTCTCGTCCAGTCCTGATTGGCCAGACCCCAGCAGCAAGTTAACCTACTGGTCAGAGCGTCTGCCCCCTGGTGGTCAGTGTGTGTCATAGAGACTGGTGGAGCAGTCGACTGAATGGTCCACTGATTGGGTAGACACTTAGCATATTAGGCTTATATATATTTAGATTGCAATATGATTACCATAGTTGGGTTAGCTAATAACTCTATCCACATTCTTATAGAATACATATTGCATAAAGTTTCTGCTATGCAAAGCCCTTTCACATTGATTTTCTCTCTCTTTTGGGTTAATTGTTACCTGAGGATATTTTTTCCATCAATTTTTAGAGAGTGGAAGGTGCGGGGGGAGAGAGAGAGGGAAACACCAATGTGAGAGAGACATATTGATTGGTTCCTGCATGTGCTCTGACCAGGGCTGGGGGATAAAACTTGCAACCCAAATATGTGCCCTTGACCGGAATCGAACCTGTGACCCTTTGGTGCATGGGTGGTGCTCTCACCACTGAGCAACATGGGCCAGGGCTGAGTTTCTCTTTTGAACCTCAGAATAACCTTATAAAATAGACAGAAGCAGGTACTGTTTTCCCCAGAAAGTTGTCCTAAATTTCAGTCTCCCCGAGCAAAGTCAGATATTAGCTATGGGTCAGGGGTGGCCAATTCCAGCCACCCCTGAGTGGTTTCTACTTGGGAACCAGGTTATCAACAAAACAACCTGTGAACAAAAGTAGAATTAGTCTGTGATTTCCAAAAATGAGGACTTTGTGAGCTGGCCCCCAACGTTTGAGGGCTTATGAGCACATGTGAGCTCAGGGAGACAAAGGGGCCCCTCCAACGAAGAAGAAGGATAAGAAAGACGATGGGCCATAGCTGTGCGTGTCTAACACTGACCTTCCGGGTTAGACGTTTGTGCACATTTTACACAGATCAGTCAGTAAAGGTCTAAGCACCGCCTCTAAGGCCCAGCCAGGCTCCCAGCTCCTGCCTTCTGAATGTGGTTGACTTCTTAGCTGGATAACACACAGAGTGAGATCAGCAATGTTACAATTACCCTGATGTCAAACAAGATCAATGAGAATGAAAATTATAAAGCAAGTGAAACAAGTTTTTATTGGGACTGCAGAGCCTGGAGGAGGATTCTAGCGGAAAAGGTCAGCAAAGCATGTCAGACTCTAGGCTCCACGTGACTCCAGTCAATAAAGGGGAGCAAGCTTGGCACGATCCAGGACTCAATCCCCTCCCTGCTGGGCCAAAGCGGAACACTGGGCTTGGTTTACGTAAGTTAAGTGGCACATGGGCAGGGGTTTCCACCCAGAGAGTCTCCCTGGCTGTGTTTTGGATCTAATAATCAGGTTAATTAAAGAGAAATAGCACTATTCCTCATGCACACGATCCTACTATGGTGTTATCTTTATAGTCTCCTGGTAAGAAGCAGGCCTTCTTAGCATGGTCTTAAAGAGTCATTGCTTACATGGATCTACTGTATGAGGTAGAAGACTTCAGTTACTTATATATAATGTCTCACTCCAGAAAGTATTGCTTTTACAAAGTCCCACAGCATAAGCATGGCTTAAAATAAAAGGAGAGAAGAGACTAGAATATACAGCATCTCCCCATTCATCTAAGTAATTCTCAGCCTTTTCAATCTGGGGTAAGGCTGTGGGAAGTCTTCAGGGAAAACGCTGAGCTTTGCAGGGTTCTTAGTAGAACTGGGGCAGATGGAGCTCAGAAGCCAGCTGCCTCTGACCACAAACCCTTTTCCAGGGAGACCACAGACGTCCCTGAGTGTGCAGTAAAAATCGTGTCTATATCCTGTGTGCCACAACGGAGAAATGCCAGCATGCACGTGCACCCGTGGTAACTGACCTGTCTGTTCTCTTCATCCTAGCTGCACCCAAAATGACGCTGCTACTTACCAGATTTCTGCTAAAAACAGCTATGGAATGATCTGCTGTTCTGCTTCCATTGAAGTCGAGTGTGCGTCGAAGAACACACAACTCACCCCTAACCCACAAGATGATGGGGATACGGGTTGGAAACGTGAGACACAAACACATGAGCAGAAAAGCACAAGTCGAATTGATGAGGATGTCTACCGTCTCGGGACAGTGCAGTCCAAATTATCAAAGTTAACGGATGGCGCCTTAAACCATGATGAAGACCTACACTCTAGCCATCAAAATCCCAAGGCACAGAAGTACATTAGCGCCAGCCTATCGCTGTCAGAGGCAGCCACATCCATCTACCCAGGTGACAGGGCCACTGTTGACGAGCAGGTCAGCCCACAGGTTTCCAGCACAGACTCTGACAGTGACTACGAACTTTGCCCAGAGATAACCCTAACCTACACCGAGGAGTTTTCAGATGATGACCTGGAGTATCTGGAATGTTCCGACGTTATGACGGATTACTCTAATGCAGTTTGGCAAAGGCACCTGGAGGGGACTGAGTGCATTTTTTTATTAGAAAGCGATGACGAAGAGGTGGAAATCAGCAAGTATTGCCTGGGGGAGTGCGAGCCTTTCTTCAGTGAAATGGGCTGTGGGCCGCCGGTGTCAGATAACACTGGGCAGATGTTGGCCTCCGCAGGCTTCTGTGGTGATCACTCCCGATCCCAAGGAGTGAGGGTAAGGCGTCTCCGAGCCTCCACCCCCAGCCCCCCAGCCCCACACACAGGGATGACTCTGACTCTGGGATCTCACGAGGATGGGACGTCTACGGTGACAGAGCAGGGGAGATATAAACGACCCACCACTTCTGCCGAAAATGATTATCCAGGAATTCAAGGCGAAACCAGAGACAGCCACCGAGCAGGAGCGGAACCCGCCGGCGACAATCTGCTAACCATGGATAAAGCAGTGACACCGAGAGAGGTGCAGTGCCTGTCTGGTGAGTTAGAAAAGCCAGGGATGAACCAGAGTTTGGAGACTGTGCCCGAGGACAAAGTAGGGGAAAAGGATTTACAGAGCAAGAGGAGCTCAGAGAAACCTGCCCGGGCGCGGCGACCAGGCCTGAAGGGAAAACCCAAGAAGCGGAGTCCCAGCCTGAAAGACAGCGCAGCAGAAGGCACCCTCAATCACCTCCCGCCCCAGGAGTCTGCTAAGCACCCCCGAACCCAGAGCGATAAAGAGGAGAGTTCGCATGCCACGGGGGAAGCTCCCGATCTGAAGTCTCAGGTCCATGCAGAAGGGGCTCTTCTACTCCAAGCAGAGCAAGATGCAAAAAGGCTGCAGACCCCACCAGGCGCTCCCCCCCAGGAAGGGAGCCCGAACTCGGAGGGTGAAGGGGTGCAGGTTAATGACTTCTGTGAAACAAGCTGGGCTCCAGACCAGAGCGATCATCCTCAGGTAAGGTTCCTCTTTTTAAAAAATCACAAGATAAAGATGTGTGTGTGTGTGTGTGTGTGTGTGTGTGTGTGTGTGTCCCTTCACTTCCCATTCCCGATTGCTGTACAAGTACCGGCAGGGCACTTGTGAATGACAGCTGCTGCTGCTAGGAAGGAAATCTGGTTTTGAAAAAAGGCCCAGATAAACCCTAAGCCATCCTAATTATAGCAAAAGAAGAGAGAAGTCAGAGGCACTAATGGGATTCTGGACAGCTGGACAAAGAAACCTGATAGTTCGTCTGCTGCATGTGTTTTATCAGCAATATCACTATTCAGAACGTTTTTCAAACACATGTTTTGGGTGTAGCCTTTAAAGAAAAACAAAAACAAAACATTCTTTTTAGTCATTTGGGAGGGGGCACTTTGAAAATGGTAAATACTGGCTTTCATCAGAATTCATAGTATAAATGAAAGATTTTGGTGTGTCTGAAGGACTTGAAGAATTCACTCGGGGATGCTGGACAGAGTAGACAATGCAGATTTTTGCTGTGCTGGTGGGATGTTTGGATCGGATTGTGTTTTATTTTGTTTTGCTTAGACCACAAAGTATAAAAGAGTCTAAGAAAATACTGCCAGGAAGTATATTTATTTCCCCCTGCTACTGATTTGGGGGTATATTTTAAAGAGATGGAATTAAATTCATGGGGATAATTAATGCACAGATGATGTTGTACTTGATATATGAATTTATTATATCTTTAATTTTAAAGGCTTCCAATGGGCTTTGAGTCAATGCTATACTGTG